AAGTTCTCAGCGAATTATCAAAGTTATCTACCTTGATATATCCAAATGTTAAAGATTTCGAGCGCATGATCATATTGAAGATCATAAAAAATGGGAATTACTATTTGCTAGTCATCATGTTTAACGTAAGCAAAAGTAAATTATACAAATCACTTCAAATGTTCTTCACATGAGATTCCGTTGTGAGATTCGATTAAATTAGGGGAATTTATGAAATTTGATTTTAAGTTCCATTACATAAAAAGTTTATTTCAATATCAAACCGTATTTGAATTTCTAAGTCAGCGGTGCCGGTGGTGTAGTGGTAAGCGTGATTGCCTCTCACCCCAGCAGGCCTGGGTTCAATCCCAGTCGGAGCCACCGGGATGTTCTGAGGCATACATCTCTGATCACGCCTTCGGAAGGGAAGTAAAGCCGTTGGTCCCCGGTTCATGAGTTGATGGGTCGATATAGGATCCAGGTGTGGGAGCTGCCTCCCTGTCGTCGGTAGCATTGGTGCTCAGCACGGAAAACAAGATCGACGGAAAACAAATCAAGGAAAAAAAAAAAGAATTTCTAAGTTACCATATAAATGGTTACTTATTTAGTGTTCACAAGTCACTATTTGGTCACTATTTCCGTAATTTTAGTCACTAAAGCACTACTATTATATCGCATCAGCACTACCAGCCCTGTCAGAGAAAAATTTGTGTGAGTTCACAGTACAATTTTTAAGTAGCTCTGTGGAAAATTCCACGTCGGTAGGATTCCAGGATCCGTGAAAAATACCAATAGAATCGAATTTTGAAGGTACAATTCCGAGGATAAGTTTAAGGGCATATCGAAAAGAATTTCTTGAGAATTTTAAGCACAGTGAGTTTTTAGAAGTATTCATAGGAGAACTCCAAGATAATTCTGAGCAAAGTTTGAACACATTCCTGCGGTGAATTGCATGGGAATTCTAAAGAGAATCCAAGCAAAATAGAATTATGGATGGAAGTTTTAATGAATTATTACAAAAGACTATTTTTCTTCCTATTCGGCTTGGAATTGGTCGAAATTCAAAGAGAATCTAAGTATGAATTTCATTAATTTTGTTGAGTGTTCTAGAGACTGTTAATTTAACTGACACAACCGGGAGAATTTCCTAAATTTAAGAAAAAACAAAACGGCAAATTGCAAATTTTGATTACTTGGTCAGCATGAATATATTCTTGTCTGATGTTCTGATTTAGCTTACTAAACCGCTATGGGGCTGGTACAGCGAGGATAAGATCAAGAAATTTCAAGTACACAACTCAATAACTTTTTTTCGCTTCTTTATTAGATCCAGGGCTGGAAAATTTAATTTTCAATGAAAGATCTCACATGAATTTTGAAAAGATACTATCATCGATTTTCTTCAAAATCTCGCCGATTTGTTTGTCATGGCAGAACGTGACAGTGTTGTGAAAATTGCAGTTATTAACCCAATTATTGATATTATTGTAACTTGTTCCACGGAAATCTGAAAAATATATTCACTCTATCGATTACATACTGTTACTTTCCTAGATTCATCTAAAATAGTTAGAAATTCGGATTTCAAACCCGTATAAGAATTATTCTCACGAGTGCTTGATCATTGGAAAATGATAAGAAAGCTCATGATAGGTAGTTTCGTCTCATGGTAGTGAGAGGATCTGTTCTCTCATAGTCACATGCCGGCCGTGATATTTATCAGCTCTAATTAGATCCATTACACTTTGATTTTAATTTTGAGTGCTGTTGGTGACATGTCTGGTAAAATTACCGTACAATTCCGATGGCTAGAGAGAAAGGTTTCAGAAGACACTGGTTAATAGGATATCTTTACACAAGTTTATGACTGAGCTTGGACGTCTGTTCTCTACAGAACTCTACATTTTCGAAGCTCTAAAATGAACTAGAGTTTTGTTTATTTCATACAACGTGTTCAACGCATCATTTATATAACGCCTAGCTTCACTATCAGCACGAAACGAAAATGAATAAGAAGTACCTTAGAACGAAAGACTGTGGATTTTCTCGTAGTTGCTTTGCTCTCACTTAAAGTTAGTTTGGGCGCCTAAATTCACAAATCGATTGGTTCTAAAATATTCTATTGGAAAAGTGAAAGTTCGATGAAGGTGGTGCGGAGCCCTGTTCCTCTAAAGAATATTTTAAAGCCAATTAATTTAGGACTGCTAGCACCAAAACTTGATGTTTCCGGACACAAACGTGTGAAACAAACTGCACCAGCGGGGCGGGGTGTCTATTTATCCTACTATAACCTTGTTTAAAGATTGATACTTGAAAATGTAGTGGACTGGATTCCTGTAAATCTCTAAGCCACGTTCGATTGAAAAGTGCTACTCCCGTCATAACACCGTGCACTACTCGATTGTGCTACGCAAGTGGCACCTGCGCAGTCCACTTCTACACTCAAAATATAAATCACATTCCCAATGGAAAATATCCATTAGAATTTCACATAACATTCATGTGATCTCATAATAGGGAATCGCTTCACAAAACCTTACGTGCCCAATGAAGTTTATATGATTTATCATATATAAGTATCATATGAATGTTACTTGAATTTCTGATAAAAATCATTAATTTTGTTATTGGAAAAATATCAACTGCATTCCCAATGGAAACTATATGAAAACTTTTTTCAGTGTAGGTATGAAATATCTCTCTCCTTTGTCTCTTTCTTCTTCCAAATATAAGGGACGCGCTCCCGTATTTGAGATTAGCACCAGTGTTTATTGCAACACTCTGAGTTTTTAGTCGATCCCTGCATGAAACCTAAATTGATGGGTTTCATGAAAGACGAAGCTGTCAAAGTCGAGCGCTCTTTCACTCGTCCGCTTCAGGACTTCAGCAAAGCTTGAAACGTCGACTGAGTTGCTAGCATGCTGCGAAGCTGTTCGACATCAACAGAAAAAGAAAGCTAAGAGTCTCTTCGTCTCATCAATTTTGTGCCTAAACTTGAAAGACATTTGAAGAACACTTGGAGCAAGAATGAGACTGTTCATGAGCTACATAGGCGGTTTCGAGTGATTTAAAACATCCCCTCCCCCGGTGTAGACAGTTTTTCATACCAATGCACAGTGGTCCAGAATGCAGATTTAGGTGGAAGAACTTTAGACTAAAATCGAAGACTAAAAATCAGTCAGATAGCGAGGTCTCTTCTACAAAGTTTTTTTTTTCTTCTTATAGTTAGGTCCTCATTTTTATGACAATGAATTCTAGGGTGGTTCTTATTATCATTAAAATCAAAAATCTTACTTTTTTGTTTGAAGAAATTAAGGTATACATTCTTGAGCAAAGTTATAGCTGAGCTACTTCAAAGTTCAAACTACTTTTTAAAAAATAACTTTTTTTTAACCGAACGATTTAGAGCTATTTTCTTGACTTAAGTTAGGGTCACCTTTGCTGAGAAATTAGAAATAAGAAAACTAGAGCAAAAAAACTGTTTTTTAGAGTCACCCTAACTTAATTCAAGAAAATAGCTCTAAACCGGTCAATGTAAAAGATACAAAAAAAGTTATTTTTTAAAAAGTTCTTCGAAGTTAGCTCAGCTATAACTTTGCTCAAGAATGTATACCTTAATTTCTTCAAACAAAAAAGTAAGATTTTTGATTTTAATGATATGTAATAAGAACCACCCTATAATTGATTGTCATAAGAATGAGGGCCTAACCATAAGAAAAAAAAAAAACTTTATAGAAGAGACGTTTAGTCTAAAGTTTCAATTTTAGGCTCAAAACATATTCTTCCACCTAAATCTGCATTCTGGACCACTGTGCAATGTTTCAACAATTTCTATGAACCGTAGATACTCGTTAACCCCCACCACTAAGCTATCTACGTAGTTTATGAACAGCTCCTATGAGCTTCGTGCGACCTCATAACATCATGTGGCATAAACTTGAAATGGGTTATAGTTACTGATTAAATTCGTAAGTCATTTACCCATTAATACCCAGTTGATATCTACTAATTTTAAGAATTGTTGTACAGTAATGTTTGTTGCACATCCCTGAAGTACTGACTGTCTATGTGTTGACTAGACTAGAAGAGGACTTACAAGTCTAATTTCGAAGTCATGTAGATTTGATCTCCAGTTCTCAGTGCTCACTTAGGTTAGTCTTTGAAATGTTTTTAAGATTCACTAGGCATGCTTCTGAAACCCCTTGGATTAGCCCTAGAAGTTTCTAAATATTCTCCTTGACTCAACCATACTTGACCCAGGATACTGCGCAGTAATTAATTTTAGTTCTCATAATTTACGCAATTTGCTGTCAGTATTCGCTATGTCCTATGCTATGAATTTCAGATTTCATTATTTTTTTTTTCTGAACCAGCTTAAACCAGGACGACGAGAGCAAGTATCTAAAACGCACCGGGAAAAGCCGGCACCCATCTATTTTAAAGAGTGCGGCCACATCGAGAAGTACTAGGCACGGGTTGGCTGGTAACCTGAGAACGACGAAGGGAGCAGGCTCATGTACGCGTGGTTTCACTCGTTCCAGCAGTGTACTGCCTGCTGATGATGTTGATACTCTCCTTGTTCGTTGTGCCAGTCAGTGTGCGCTGGCTGTGCCCACATTGGCTGGCTCTAGCTGTTGGAGTTGTAGCCGGGAAAATCGATAAAATTTCACCCCTTTTATCTGTCGGTCGTTTGCAGATCTCCGTTTAAATTCCACCCATCGCACGACGAGAAGGGTGAACTGGTAAACTGGATTGTGAACTCTTGGCTCGGAAAGACTTTAAAAGTATTCTCTGCTGTGGTTTGGCGCGCTGGATTGTGCCGGATGAATTTCTGTGTGTAGCGCTTTTCTGAAGATGCTGTGTTGTATGCGGTAAATGGGATTAAATTGGCTGTCGTGAAGAAGATGATGTTGAAAAAAATCGCATCTTGTGAAATATTTAAACCAATTAAAATTATATTATATCCACATCAAATAGATAATGGTACTAATTGTATGCTTCTCTTTTCCATCCTTTTTTAGAACTCGTCACAATGAGGGCCACTGCTCGACAAAAATAACCTTTCACCCACCAACATCATCGGCACGCAACGGGTAAACCGAGAGAGAATGTGATACAAGTGCAGAATAATTTCGTATCGAAAATATTCATTAAACCAAACAAGTTCAGGATGCTATAAAATCAATAGCAATTGCTTGCTGTGCCGAACCAACCCAAAGTTGTATAATTTACTCAAATAGGATACCGATTTGGCAGCCGAAAAATAAGCAAAACAACCAGTCTGTGAATTTAAATGAAGAATATTTGGTTATAAATAGTTGCTAGTGTTTATTCGTCCACATATTCGTATATGTGTATTTGCCCTAATAAGCCTAGTGCGTGTGCTGTGGTTAGATGAAAGTTATAATAAGTGCTTATCGTTTACAGAAATTAATATTCGCTATTCATATTCAACAGGAAAGGAAGAAGTAGTGCGTACAAAAGGAGTATTCATGTGGTGCAATAAACGCCAGTGTTGAAACAAAGTGTACAATCGAGCAGTCTGATGCATTTCTTCGTCAGTTGCTGATTCTATACCAGAGAGAAAAAAAAAGTAGTGCAGTGAATAGAAGAAAACAAATCCACATAGCCATAGTAGTTGGTGGTAGAGTTTGCAAAGTTGAACCGCCGAAGTCCCAAAATCCCCGCCAAAATACGTCACCCGCAATAGCAACATGATGCCGAAACGATCCCGTTTGGGCGATGTTCGCGGTCCAATCTCGAATGGACCATTGCAGTCGCGGCCGTTGGTTGCACTGCTGGACGGCCGGGACTGTTCGATCGAGATGCCAATACTGAAGGACGTTGCCACAGTCGCGTTTTGCGACGCACAGAGCACATCGGAGATTCACGAAAAAGTAAGTTCAGTCTAGTTTTCAGGGCTTTTTAACTCTATCGTAGATTTAAGAGACACACTTCTCCAGAACATGATATTGTAGGTTATGGGATCGTCCACGAAAACAGTCACAGTCACAGCATACTGTTCGTCGCACGGTAAATGAGAAAGTAGAACAATTTATAAAAAATATGGATTTGATTATTCAAATTACGAACCTTAAAGTCACATAAAATGCGTCTTTAAGCAGAACCGACCAATGCTATCTCTATTGTGTTTAATAAGTCTTTAAATGTCAGTGAGTGGGACATTGGGCCAAAAAAACATAATTTTTCGTTCCCTACCTTAGGGCTGTTCATTAACTACGTAGACAGTTGTTTTTTGGATTCTTGACCATTATTTGGCATTATTAGTACACTTCCATCATCAAAGCAATTTATGCTTTGTATATGGCACGTATTTATTGTCCAATATAAACTGAAATTGTTCTCAAAATAATACTGTAGATAGGGGAAATGTAGGTAATGCCGGCCTACATGTCCCTAATTTGGGCCCATCGCTAAAAGTCTGCTATTTATCAATTTTATCTAGATGAACGCGTTATTGGGACGTTACTAATGGATATTTTTGGTTGCTATTGAAAATTTAGTTGATTGCTGAATTTATGTATGGGTCCAAATTAGGGACACTTAGGCCGACATTACCTGCATTTCCCCTATATTTCCAAGTATTTTCACATATAAGTACTCGCCAAAAATAAGTCTCTCAACCGACTGCCATGAAATTTTCAGGGAATGTAATTTTATATATAAGCTTGGTTTACGTATCTTTATTTCACTATATTTCTTCACCAAATCCAAATGCTATGTAGAACTTTCTTCGTAATTCCACACATAAGGTTTTGTACAACGGTTGAATAGACATTTTTTTTCTGCGTTCAACCATGACAACTTTAGGATGCTTACGGAGTTCGTTCTTCAATATGATGATGGTGATAGAATATTTGATTTAATAGTGGTAGATTAATTAAAAAAAGTAGTCTACAGAGGTTTAAGCCTCGCGCGCGTATTACGTATATAGAGGACTGAATTTAACATTTGATAAAAAAAATGCAATTTTGAGGCTTATTTGGAAGATATCTTGAGTTAGTAGTAAGTTTCTGGCAAATGTTGGGGGTTCGTGAGCATTCCTGACATTGCTGAAAATTATGATAGCATCAGATTGCGGGGTTGCTAGTGTAATAGGATGCTTTGTTGATTGTTCATTAACTCTTGATTACTTGTAATACTTATGAATATTTTAGGTGGACAAAAAGGCGAACTAAGAGGTGGACGCCTGAGCTTTTTCACGTTTATATCGCTGTGAAGAAACTGTAAACTTTAGAGGGAATTTATATCTGTAACTGTAACCAGTTCGATTTTGTTTGCAAACCTGGTTAAATTGTCATATATAATTATCTTAAGGATAAATCGTCCAGCTCAAATTTCAGAGATGTTATGACTCAGAACATCTCGGCGGCGCCGACTGGGATTGAACCCAGGCCTGCTGGGGTGAGAGGTAATCACGCTAACCACTACACGCCGCTCATTTCCACACCTGAACCTTACCTATCGAGCCATCAACTCATGGACTGGGGACCAACGGCCTTTACATCCCTTCCGAAGGAAGGCGTGATCAGAGATTGTACGCCTCTGAACATCCCGGCGGCCCCGACTGGGATTGAACATCCCGGCGGCCCCGACTGAGATTGAATCCAAGCCTTTTGGGGTGAGAGGTAATAACGCTTAGCACTACACCACCGACGCCGCTTAAGCACTCAACCTTTAGTTAATCACTATCACACAACTACGCTCCAACTATTCACCAAATTTCCTCTGCATACCGAGTAGTAAAACCTACTTTCTTTATAAGTTCAATCGTTCAATCCAGTTCCCATAAAGTTCGTCATATTATCCAGTTTCTCTGTATTCACCAATCTACTACAATCAGCAGAAAAAAATTACAAATATCATGGAAATTATGGAAAACATAGATGAGCTCAGCAGGGTGGCAAGTGAACCAGGAAAACCAGGAAAACCGGGAAAAAGTCGGGAATTTCACCTGGAAAAACCGGGAAAAAAATCAGGAATTTCATAAGTCCACCAGGAAAATAATCTTGTTTGTATAATTTAAATAGGTTATAAATTTTATGTATGTCAAAGTTTCTTTTTATAATCAAGTCAAAACTAACCATTTTGTTCAAGCTAAAGCTTTCACACAACTAAACATTGATGAACAAAATTTACCCTGAGAATTTAGGAAATATGTTTTGTATTTATTTTTAATTAATTTTTTTCTCGATTTGTGCTTAATTGATAGCAGACTTAAGCAGTGACTACTTTGAAGTACCTGTTCAACATGTTCAATAAAAAAGTTCTGTTTCTAAAAACTTCAAATAAGGCCTTCGAACTTCAAGAAAGTTCTTCAAAATTCGGGAAAGTCTTTCAAGTTTCAGGAAAATCCTGTGAACTACTGTGATGACCTACGACGGTCAGGAAATCTCTCCGAACCTTCAGAGAAGTTCTACAAATTACAGAAGAGAAGTCTTACGAACTTCAGGGAAGTCCTTTAATCTTTGGGGAATAACTAGGAATTTTACAGAATTTTCTACAGATTTAATGTAACTTCTACGACATTTAGGCATTGCTTAACGCTTAAGGATAATCCTGTGACACTTATGGATTTTTTCCGAGCTTCAGAGAAGTCTTCAATACTCTTGGGAAGTCCTCTGAACTTAACATAGTGACTTCCGAGAAGTCGATTGAACTACAGGTAGTCCTACGAAATTCATGGCAGCTCTCTAAACTTCAGGGATTTTCCAAGAAATTAAGAAAAGACCCACAAACTTTTGGAAAACCCTTCGATATTTAAAGCCTTATGTACTTCAGGGAAGTCCTCAGATCTTCGAGAAAGTTCTTCGAACTTGAAGGAAGTCTTACGAACTTCTGAGAATTTCTACGAACTTCGTGGTACTTCTACGATATTTAAGAAATTCATATGAATTTCAAAAAACTCCGAACTTCAGGGAAGTCCTAAGATCTTAAAAAAAAGTCCTTCGAACTTCGGGCAATACAAACTTCAATGAACCCTTCAGGAAAGACCTTAACGCTTCAGGGAAGTTCTATGAACTTTTGGGAGTTTCTATGAACTTCAGCAGTCAGTCTTTTTAATAACGAGAGTTATTAAACCAGCGTTGTTTATGAAATCTTTTAATCATATGATTTTGAAATCATGTTGCAATCAAAATTCCGCTAAATAAGATCCTTAATCGTTGACAATTTGCGGAAAATTTAAACAAACTGGAAATCCGTAAAATTGTTAAAAGCAAAGGTTTGTTTAAAGAGTCCTCATCAAGGTTGCAAATACTCATTTCAGCTAAAATAATGATTTTCGGAATAATAAAACCAAAAGATGGTATGATGGTATGGTTTTACTTGTAACTTACAAGAAGAGGTTACAAAGTATGCGTTTGAAACATAAAACCTGTAAATTTTGCTTTCTATGAGTCACAATCAGCGATTTGCTGATTGCTGAGTGAGTGAGGGAGTGAGTGAGTGAGGGAGTGAGTGAGTGTGTGAAAAATCGCTGATTGTGACTCTCATGAAGTGAAATAAACAGGTTTAATATGTCAAACACATTCTTGGCAACCTCTTCTTGTATCTTTACCAATTCAAAATATGATCATACACACTTAGAAATTATCGCCGACTTCGGTAATTTTTACCGAAATCTGAACAGCTGAACTTTTCGGTAAAATTTATGCAATTCAATTCAATTGCTTTTCAGCTTCTTTGAAACTAAATCTCCACTAAAATGACAAAATTTGATCATTTAAACAAGGTTAAACATGTTTTGATATTATTTTCAACTTCAATAGTTTAAAGGCTGTTCAATGAAGTTCAAAGTTTTACCGAACGTTCAGCTGTTCTGATTTCGGTAAAATTTACCGAATACGGAAACAAAATCTTAGTGTGTAGCATCTAAGTATTTCATAATTAAAAAAAAAAAAAAACATTGTTTTAGCTAATATGAGTTTTTGCAACCTTGGTCCTCATTCATATCACACTTCGCAATTTCACCTTGAGATAAACTAGCCCGTTGGCTAAAAATCTCAATAATAAAGTTAAAAACATTACAGTTTTAAAAACAGAAATCTCAAGATTTAGGGGCTTATAGATCTCTAAATTTCAGACATTAGATAGGGCTCCGCGCTAGTCCGTCGTATCTCAGCTTTTCTTCGTCATACACCCCTAAAATCGCTCATTTTACGGGTTATCGCAAATGTTTCAGTGTCAATCGTAATTAATCTTGTAAGCAAAGATGTTTTTGCAAAAACATGAGTGAAAACGCGCCATGATATGATGAAGTAGCGCGGCTCCCTACTAGCTTCTTTACATCAAACAATCAGTTAAATATTTCACGGGTATTCACAAAAACCTTAATACCTATTTTGGTTTGTAAAATTCCGCATTGCGCGAAGAATGATGATACAAGGATTCACTTTTTTTTTGTATTAAAAATTGTTTTTTAAATACATGGTTTGTAAAAACAGGAAATGTTTAAATCATTGACCTGGAAAACCAGAAAAAAACAGGAATTTCAAAATGGAAATTCACTTGCCACCCTGGCTCAGCGAACTTCAAATAGCTGTAGTAGAGTTCTGTAAATTACACTAAACATTTCAAAACTGTTCTGCAAACATCATAGAAGACCAGAGAGAAATTCAGATAACATCAGAAAACTTCTGCGAACTTCAACTAAGCTCTGCTACCCTAAGAAAAGTCCTATGCGCTGTAAACCGATGAAGTATGCCCAACTTCAGAGTGGTTTTACAGACTATCGAATACTCTTACCAATTTCCTGTAAACTTCAGAGAGCTGCAGAGATTTTAATTTCTGGCCTATTCTGCATGGTGTGAGATGTGAGGTAACTCGCTGCCCTGATTAAGTAACATTTCACCTTAACCTTAGACGTGATCTTTGAAGATCACTAGATTATGCTTGAAGTTCGAAATTCGAACTTATGCTTGATTATGCTTATTAATTATGCTTGATTAATTATGCTTAATTATGCTTGAAATTCGAAGAAGATCTCAGAAATTGTTGACGTTCGAAGAATTTCTCTGAAGATCATAAAACAACTCTGAAGTTCGCTGAACTTTTTTAGAGACTACAATACTTCCTTGAAGATCTCAGAACTACTCTGAAGGAGCTTGAAAGTGTTCCTATGCAGTTTATGAATGATATGATAACTTCAAGTGAAGTTCTCTGAAGTTCAGGCGAAATTATCTGAACTTAACTTAATGCGAAAATCTCTGAACTTCAGGCAACATTCTCTGAACTTTGAGGAAGTTCAAAGAACATCCAACGAAAAGTTTACAAAACCCCAATATTTTTCGTACAAATGTTCACATAACTTAGGACGAAAAGTTTACAGAACTTCCCTGAAGTATAGAGTACTTAGAAAAATCCCTGAAGTTCACAGAACTTAATCAAAGATCCCTGAAGTTCGACGAAAAGTTCAGAGAACATCTAATAAGATGTTCAGAGATTTTCTGAAGAGAGGTTTCGAGAACCACACAGAACTTCATTTAAGTTTTCTGAAGTTCCGACGAGCCCAAAAAGAAGTTTAGAGAATTTCCGACGAGCTCAAAAAGAAGTTTAGAGAATTTCCGACGAGATGTTCTGATGTTCAGAAGATGTTCATAGTACGTCCGACGAGCAGTTCAGAGAACTTCCAAGGAGAAGTTCACAAAACTTCAGAGGAGAAGTTCACAGAACTTCAGAGGAGAAAATCACAGAACTTCAGAGGAGAAGGTCACAGACCTCCGACAGAAGGAGAAATTCCGAGTAGAAGATAAGAAATCTTCCGGCGAGAATTTCAAAGATCTTCCGAGGAGAAGTTTAAAGCATCCGGAAAGAAATTTAGCGAACATCCGCGTACCCGAGCAAAGTTGGTTAACAAAATGAAAGCAAATCGATATTAAAGTTTGTAGTTCCTATCATAATTAAAACTCATTTTGATTTCAATTGTCACGACATTAGTCTGATATAATATTGTGCTTTCAGCAGTGATGGAAAAGTTCGCGAAAACTCACTATGACGCATGAACTTTTCCCTTGGTGAACTTCGTGAAATATCGCGAACTTTTCCAACACTTTCTTTCAGTATGCAGTCAAAACTTTTTAAATGAAAGCGACATAACTTGAAGTTCTGCTGTTAACATCTTGTTTAAAATTTAATTTAAGCTCATCTGTCTTTGAACTAACTAGCATTGTTTATTTGTTTTGTTTAACACATTTTAGATTGTTCGTTACTTGCCCGGGGTGAGATTTGTGCTCAAGTCTTTCAGCGTGAGAAGTATGGATACTACGATTTACGCCAGGCCCGTCCTCAGTTAAACATTATGAATGTAAAATCAGAAATCAAATTGATTTCATTGAAAGCAAGATTAGTATTCCGTTTGATTCAACAGTGTAAAAGTTGGCTCTCATTTTTGCTGTGTTAACCGTTAAGTCAACCAAAATGAGATCAACTGGAGTATTCAAAATAAGTTGCATCATAACAGCAAATTTTGATTTCAATTTGATCTCCAGCTTTGCTCGGGTAGAAGTTCAAAGAACTTCCGAAGAGAAATTCACAAAATCTCCGACGAGAAATCCAGAAAGCTTCCAAGGATAAGTACAGAGATCTTCTGACGACAAATTCTGAGAACTACTGACAGTAAATTCCGAGATCTTCATACTAGAAATTCACAATACATACGTCCGCCGAGAAGTTCTTCCCGAAGCGCAGCACAATCAAAAGCATAATCTATCCCGAATAGGCAACAAGTTTCTTGACCAACATGGAACAGGAAATAGGGGAAATAGCATGTTTCGGAAAAGTCCTATGTGGGATTTTATATTTTTACAGACACTTTCAATCACTTGCTACTTACTCTCGGTGAGAGCAGATTTTGCTTGGGCTGCTTTTCTTTTTGAAAATCCGAGATTGTAAAGCTATCTACAAAAATGTTTCAAAATCGTGGGGTATAAAAATGTCAGTAACTCAAATTAGTTCAAAAAGGAGCATGATTTGTTTATAGGAGTGGTTTTTTCTTCTGTTCGGGACCTAACACCACTGCGACCAGTATTTTGGTCTATTGTAGTATATCCCGTGTCCTTAGTTTAGTGCATGTCGTATTACTCCATCACTATTGATAAATGATTTTTTTTTGTTAATTAATTTATTTGATAAGGCTCAACCGAATTAACTGTACAGAGCCGAGGATTCTAGTTCACGCTATCCAATAAGCCTCCTCCACCAGAACGGGAGTCGCTTCCAGTGGTTTCATTGTATGGCCGATTCGCCAACGGGGGGCAGAGTGCTTCCATTGCAGCAATGGACGCAAAACGTGGTCATCACTCACACACTCATCACGAAACGGTTGCTTTTCAAAGTCGACGACACATTGACTGAAACAACTGCTGATGAAGAACAATGAGGAGGACCACACAATGGTTGCTGCCGAGTAAACAGACGATCGCGTGACACACATTGAGCGTGGTCTGCTTCTGTCCACAGCCGAGTGAACACTGTATTGAGAAATGATGAAGTATTCGTTTATTTACAGTTGTCATTCTTGTATTTATCACAAGGATTCGACTTTAATTGAAAGGTCCTGCTATTAATACCCTTCGGAGCGTTGAAACACCCTCCAAAGGCGTACCCCTTTGTCAGTCAAAATTGGATTCCTTAGCAACAAAATTAAACAATGACACCGATAATGACCATGCATCAGAACCCCCTAGTCTTTACCACTTTAAACTAGAGAACAACGAATAGGAGATTAGGAATCACATAGATGAAGACTTGTTTCAAGATCATCCTTGGTGGACAAAGCCGAGTCTTGTCACTATCAACAAGGCATAACCAGCAACAAGGAATAAGATGTGTTCCTTTGATTACTGAAAAATCCTGTTCCCCTAGTTTGAAGTAGTTAGGACCAGGAATCGGTGGTAACGTACGTACCACGAAGAGGTGATCTACCCACGTTACGGGGCTATAGGAGTGGTTAGTGTAGACCGATTTGGAAATTTCTTCAGCACTATAAAATACACAACTTTGCCTTAGAACTCATCCTTGTACCTTATTTAAAAGATATATTCGAGCGCCACCTATGTTACAGGAATACGAACTATTCAGAAACCACCAAAAGCTGGCTATTTGTCCAAGACTGCAATAAATCTGTATAATGCATACCCACGTGAGCATTGCTAGAGGTTTTGGCCACGCTACCGGGATCGTTGCCCCACTGTGCGGTGTTGAGAGCTGTCCAATTATTATTCTTCTGGAAGTGTCATTTGACAACGATGATGCATACATGTGGGGCTTATTGTGATTGAAAGTGACCTGGGAATTAGTGTGACTCTCCAGATATTCTGAAATGGGTTTGCTGAATCTGCAATAGAGCTATCACCTTATAACTCCCGGCCTAAAGCTGTCTGCAATTACTGAAAACGAGAAATTGCAGATGGCTTTCTTCAATAATACCACTGTCAATAATACCACTGCAGCCGGCGCCGCTGGTGTAGTGGTAAACGTGACTGCTTTCTAACACCCCAATGGGTCTGGGTTCAATCCCAACCGAGGTCGGTGGGATTTTTCTGAGGCATAAAAATCTCTGGTCACGTCTTCCCTCGGAAGGGAAGTAAAGCCGTTGGTCCCGGCCCATGTGTGTTGTGAATGGGTGCGATATCCTACGCAGGTGTGGAAGCTGCATTCCTGCACATTCGATTGTCGTCAATGGATGATGGCAATCGATGTTCGTCGGTGATTGGCACTAGATTGCGGAACAGAGACCGACGTTAAATAAAGGAAAGAAGAATAATACCACTGCCGGTCAGTAGGGGTCAGATTGAATACACACATAACCACACATTATTCTGAAGACAACACATTCCTAGCTCTTATACTGTACGAGATAAATACCGTTGGTTGTGAAAAGCCCGTTAAAATCATAATTTTAAGTATAATTTTTTCTAAGATTTCCTACAATTTTTTATACCTTCTATAAAATATGTTGCAAGTTTTTGCAGAACATTGTATAATGTTATTATAAAATAATCGATTTTTTAGTTGTATTCTCACCTCAAAAATCTTTTTCCGGCGCAAAATGGCGCAGGATTCTGAAACTATAAATATTTTGATGTCCAAAATTGTTTATATCATTTTTGTCTATATGAGACTTTACATGTGCTATGTTGATAACTAACTTACTCCTACAAGTGTCTAATATTTGAATATTTTTATTTTATTTCAAGGGATAGCACATTTCAGCTTCCCCGCGCATTTCAACTTTCTCCGGTGTACCTTATCTGAAATAACAATTATCTTTTAAAAAATACACTAATGTATAATCTAAACCCTATCACACACAAAAACTAAACGTTTTTCCTTTGCATCTTCCAACAGGTATTAAACGAAGCAGTGGGAGCACTGATGTGGCACACAATCATCCTCACAAAAGAAGATCTGGAAAAGTTCAAAGCGTTACGGATAATCGTCCGCATCGGCAGCGGAGTCGACAACATCGATGTGAAAGCTGCCGGCGAGCTGGGCATTGCCGTGTGCAATGTGCCGGGCTATGGCGTCGAAGAGGTCGCCGATACCACCATGTGTCTGATCCTAAACCTTTACCGGCGGACGTACTGGCTAGCGAATATGGTGCGGGAAGGCAAAAAGTTCACAGGACCAGAACAAGTGCGGGACGCAGCGCAGGTTGGTTGCGATCACTCGTAAGAGCTGTTCGGATTGTACTTAAAGCATTTTCCCGTTTTCTAACGTTTTTAGGGCTGCGCGAGAATACGAGGAGACACCCTGGGGTTAGTCGGTTTGGGCAGAATAGGCAGTGCTGTGGCCCTTCGGGCGAAGGTGTTCGGTTTCAATGTTAGCTTCTACGATCCCTACCTGCCGGACGGTATCGAGAAATCGCTTGGCCTGAACCGCGTCTACACCCTGCAAGAGCTGCTATTCCACTCAGACTGCGTGTCGTTACACTGTACATTAAATGAACATAATCATCACTTAATTAACGAGTTCACGATTAAACAGGTAAGTCGAACTAGGGAAAGGGGGAGAGAGGGAGAGGGGATGGTCAATAACTGGTTTATGAAAAGGGGACCTCAGAGATTTGTTAATTTTCCTCAAATCTATAACAAATGCAGCCACATAGTTCAATGGTTACTTTTTGCGAGGATTTCTAGATAAACCGCCCGAAATTGCTCTTCATCGTTTTAATATTAGGATAACTCACAATGATGTAATTCCTAATAGAATCCTAAAAATTATCTTTCTGAAGTAGTCTTTTTATGGTAATGATGATGAACTGCATCAAAAATTCCTTCAGTAATACTCATTCTACATGTAGTAGGTTTTGAATTGCTAAAATAAAATTTTATATAAAATACTAGGTACAATAAAGTCCATCATTTCTAATGACACATATTTGAAATTCCTCGAAATTTGCTGTCGAGGATTCCGAAAGGAATTTTCCAGAAATCCACTGATTAGGCAGGGTTTATTCAGAATCCTGTTGAGGTAAAATCTTCTTTGAAATTCTGATTCACTGCACTGTTCAGATGTAATGGAAAACAGGTGATTATCCGGAATAAAAGTAAAAATACGGAGTTGAAAATATACGTTTTTAATCTACTCTTGATTGATTATTTATATTACACTGAACTAAAAAATGTCAGTTGTTCTTTTCAAAAAGAGGTTCCGATAGTTGGGTCGCATCGCGGAATTGCTATCCTTCAACATCCCTGCTCAATTTCGAGATTCCTGCAGACCAAGCTTCCCTCGCATTTTAACGAATGTAGAAGTCGGCAATGCCTTCGTCAGAATATCAGCCTGCTGGTCTTCGGAGGGGACATACTCCATCCTTCTGCTGTCACGAGGCTTTTCCACAACACGAACACATGATTGGTTGTCCTCATAATACGTTACCGGATCACCAAGCAGGATTCCAAAATCGGCTAGAAGAGGCACCAGCCATACTCCTTCACAAGCAACTGTGCAACAAGCTCCGCATCCGTTGAAGAGAGCGATACGGTTGGCTGCTTCCACGTTAACCAAACGCTCGTGCTCCCGAAAATCTTCACAGATCGATCATTCACGTTATTGACCCAATCAGCGTCGCAGAATGCAGCCAGGACAGCCTCTTGATCGTCACCATGAAATTCCAACACCAGGTTCAGGGTTCCCTTCACATACCGCAAGATTCTTTTCAAGTGCACCCAGTAGTGCTCCTCCTTTTGGCAGCTTTGGTATTGGTTCATCTAGTTTACAGACGCAGACAAATCGCGTCTGCTGGCAAGCAAGCGTAACGTACATCAGCCAGCCTATCAACTCCCAGTATGGCTTGTCAGTACGTTGGCTTTCTTCTCCCTCCCACAGTTTCAGGTGGCATTCAATTGGTGTAGACACTGACCGGCACTCGTCCATGCCAAACTTCTTCAGCAAACCTTTCAGATATGCTTGTTGATCAATCCGCCTAATCCTTCCGTCCACATCGCGCTTTATATGAGTTCACAAGAAGCTACTCTCAGCGCCAAGATCCACCATCTCAAACTCCTTCGACAAAAGCATCTTCACGGTCCGAATTACCGTCAGCCTGTGATTGACAACGAGTATATCGTCCACATAGAGAACGAGGAATACTTTTTCCTGACCAGAACTCCGGATATAGAGACACCGATCGTTGTCGCAGCGTTTAAATCCAATACTGATCACAAACCGGTGGAACCGGTCGTTCCAGGTGCGCGATGCTTGCTTCAGGCCGTAAATAGATCGATTTAAGCGACACACCAGGTCCTGTCCTTGCTGAAACCCGTCCGGTTCCGATTCGCCGTTTAGGAAGGCGGTCCGGACATCCATCTGGTGGACTGACAATCGTTGCTGGTTGGCCACTGCTAAAACTGCTCGTCAGGTGTTCAACCTGGCCACAGGCGCGTATATTTCGGTATAATCATACCAATACCGCTGAGTGAACCCACGTGCCACTACTCTTGCCTTATAACGGTCCTGTTCGCCGTTCGCAACAGGCTTCATTTTAAAAATCCACTTGCAGGAAATTGGCTTTTTCCCAGCAGGCAGCTTCGTTAGAGTCCACGTCCCATTGCGATTCAACGAGTTCATTTTTTCTTGCACGGCCGTCTGCCGCTTCAACCAATCGGCACGCTTCCGCATTTCCAGTAGCGTATCTGGAAGATCTTCTACCATATAAAAATTCTTCTGCCATACATGGGGGGGGGGGACTTCGCCCGGTCGATTCCACTTCATTATTCGCTTCTTGATCTTCCTCCATTTTTTCACAGCTGGTGAATCCGTCAAACTCTTCTTCAGAAACTGCTGAATCTTCCTCAGTATCACTTCCTTGGCGATCGTTATCTTCGTTTCTGATAATCGGGAAGTCACCACTTTCCGATTGCTTCTCTTGTTTCGCAACATCTGCTCCGCTGACCTTGCCGCCGACGTTCTCATGGAAGATCACGTCACGAAAGATCGCCACCCTCTTGCTCCTAGGGTCGAAGACGTGATACCCATTTTTGACGTACCCAACGAATTTGTCCTTCCATCACTTACCATCAAGGTTCTTCCGGTGTTCCTTGGCAGTATGGCAGTGTGCAACACACCCAAATACACGTAGGTTTGAGATATCCAGTTTGGTTCCACTCCACACTGTGTTTTGTGTTCCTCCACTGCACTCGCCGGAATCCGATTTGTCAAATAAGCTGCGGTTTCAATTGCTTCACTCCAAAATCCTTTGCTTATTTCAGAGTATGCGAGCATCGAGCGAGCCTTTTCTACCAATGCCCGGTTCATGAGCTCACTGACCCCGTTTTGTTCTAGTTGGTGTGTAGGGCACGGTATACTGCACTAGAATCTCTTTCATGCGGCAAAACCTGACGAAGGAACTGCCTCGATACCTCGCCTCCGTTATCGCAGCGATTTCGAGAAATCCACCTCCCGAATTGTGCCTCAGCGATGGTCGTATACTTCTCAAAGCATTGCAGCACATCGCTTTTTGTTGCAATAGGGTACACTTTCACAAACCGACACCAATCATCAATGCAGCACACAAAGTACCTTGCTCCACGATGACTCACTCGAGAACTCGCGACGAACGTTTTCCAACGCGTCCCTTATCGAAAGGCTTTCGGGTTTGCCTACCCACAACCACGGTTAGCAAACAACGACAATGTCACAGTCTTTCGACTTCAATGTCATCCCGCCATTCCATTTTCTACGAGGCACGTGAACACGATTGCTTTTGTTGACAATATTCGTATTGTCAATAAATTATATACTGACGTCAATTATCGATGTAAATTTTTTGTATTCACTCCATCAATATTATTGTCAATAATTCGCATTCGCGTCAATATATTGATACGTGCGGGGTTCGCTTAACATGTCACACTTACCAACCTCCCCTCACGAATTCAATGACGACGCATCCGACGCGTAGAACTCAAGTTCGTAGAGCAAATGACCACGTTTCCCGATCGCGACCACCTCCGAGCCGTTCAGAATTTTCACCGTCCCGCTTTGGAAAACTACCGACATTCCCGCACTTTCAACCTTTTTCACTGAGAAAAGATTGCATCTTGCCTCGGGTACGAAGAGTACGTCCTTCACTTGACACTCGATCTTCTTCTTACCGACGACGGAGTTCACAACAATAGTTCCACAGTACTTTGTTACGATGCTATCACCGTCCTTCCATCGGCCGCTCCAACCTGTGAAGCTTTACGAAAAGGTTCCGATTGTTTACGATGTGTTCAGACGTGCTCGAGTCAACGAACCATTGAATCTTCCAGATTGCGGACGAATTTCCGACACTGACGAAGCAGGTATTGCATAGAAATTCCAAGGGAGTTTTGAGAAGTACTCTAAGAGAGATTTGACTAGAACGCCAAACCAAATTATGTGAGTTCAGAGAAGATTTTTGATAGTGCTGAAGGAAATCCCATGACGAATTGTTAGTAGGATTCCAGGTTCATTTCTAATGATTATTCTAAATAAGTTTTGAGAAGACATTATAAGAAAGTTGTGATGGGAAAATTTGAATGATAATTTCAAGTGGATTCTAAAGAGAATTCCAAGGGATCTCCCCGAAAAATACACAGGAAATCGAATGTTGAAGCGTTGAAGGAACAATTCAAATGAAAACAGTTTTACGGAAATTTCTATGATAAATTCAAGGGCATTTAGAAACGAATTTTTAGAGAATTCTAAGGAGAATTCAATTGAATTTTCAGAAGAATTCAGAAGAGATGAGAATTTTATTTTTTTAGTTTATAGAGGCTTTACCTTTATTGAGAATTTGTCTCTGCATATTCTAAAAGAAATTGTTGTCATTACATAGAAATCCTTCGGAAGGGAAGTAAAGTCGTTGGTTTTAATGTCAGCTAATTCAAAAATTAATTTTCGAACGTTAAAGGTCTGAAATTCTTGTGCACGATCAAGGACCATCCTCAACACTCTATTCTGAGTGACCTGGATTTTCTTTCTGATTAAGTAAATGTTGGACTAACATATCCTTCCTCTCCCTACCAGTTGTAAGGACGAGGCCAGGACAATCAATGTTGTCGGGATATGTCTTTATCAGGGAGAGAGTAATTATTTCCTACTTAATATCTGTCCAGTAATAGATATTCGTCTTGCTCTTAATAGTTTTGAATTCGTACCACCTACGATATTGTGCAACTTGTTCGATGCTAATGCTAATGAGTCTGTGCATCATGATTCCCACACCGGCACTGCGTAGAGGATCGCAGGTGCTATGATTTGATTGTAGACAGTCAGTTTGTTCACCTTTGAGAGGCGGGATCTGTGGTTAATCAGCGGATACAGACACCTATTCAAGGCGGAACACTTGACTACGGTTTTCTCCACATGTGAGCGGAATAGGTTACTTCGGCGGACCACTCAACCCTTGTGCCCATCCATGATTACAGTACAAGAGGGAGCCGATTTTAGTTTGGACGATTGCCGATGGAGGAACATGATTGTTTGTGTTTTGGAGGCATTGATTTTGATTTTCCACG